TACTTTAATCCAACAGACAGCACCAAGCTCCTGACTACAGACCAGAGGAACCAGATCAGGGTATATTGTTCATATGACTGGTCTAAACCTCATCAAATAATTGTTCATCCTCATCGACAGTTCCAGCACTTAACACCCATCAAGGTAAGAGTTCCTTTAGCCTAAACTGCAAGTTTCACTTGCTTGGCTTTTTTCCCATGTTGTTTATGTTGTAATCAAGTTTACAGGCATCTCAGAGATGCAGGACTATTGATGTCCTAGAGTTTAGTTTTGCAAAATTTCTTCCATCAGGCAACCTGGCATCCTATGTATGACCTCATCGTGGCTGGTCGTTACCCAGATGATCAAGTATTAATCAATGACAAGAGAACTATTGACATTTATGATGCCAACAGTGGTGGGCTTGTGCATCAGCTGAGAGACCCCAATGCTGCTGGTATCATATCTGTAAGAATGTTTTTTCTTTTAAATATTAAAAAAAAATTAAAATGTTAATTAGAATTCCTAAAAATGTATACACTACCAGTCAAAAGTCTGGAGTCAGTAAGATTTTTTTAAAATAAATTAATACTTTGATTCAGCGAGGCTGCAGTAAATTGATCAAAAATGAGAGTGAAGACATTTAGGGTGCGTTCACACTTGGTTTGCTTGCCTGGTCCGAACCAGAGTTCGATTGCTTCCCCCTCCCCTCTGCCCCCACTGGACTGTTTTCAAATAATTTTATTTGGTCCGAACCGTGGTTCGCGTCATCAAGCCAGCAGCTGTTTACCCCATTGCTTAGTAACGACGGCGCAGGAGAAGGCAGTAAAATGCATAGTTGCTCTCTTCATTTTTATATATTTATGTTTTTGAACAATTGGTTTTGTTTCCAAAGCTTCAGTACATAACGGCACTTACGTCTGTCTTACGAATGTACTGCAAATGCTCTAAAGAATTCTGAAGGCGAACAGAAATAAGATATACAGCTCTCTGCTTGGAGCGCGTCAGTCATGCTCGTCAGGAAAGTGAGTGAAACACAAACACACATTTTTTTATCAAATAATACGTCATTAATAGCGGTTCACTTCCGTGATTTGGTACGATTCCGTTCACATCAGCAGCGAACCGTACCGGAGTTCACATGAACCGTACCCCAGACCACCACTTTTAAGCGGACTCGGGTACGGTTCGTGGGTGCGCACCAAAAGTGCTAGTGTGAAAGCACCCTTAGAATATTAGAAAAGATTTCTATGTCAGATAAATGCTGTTCTTTTGAATTTTCTGTTTATCAAATAATAAAGAAAAATGATCATGATTTCCACAAAAATATTAAGGCACAGCTTTAAGTATTGATAAAATGTTTCTTGAGCTCCAAATCAGCTTATGTTTTCAGAAGGATCATGTGACACTTGACATTTTAAAATATATTAAAAAGTTAGTCAAATTGTAAAAATATTTCACAACATTACTGTTTTTTTAATGTATTTTTAATAAAATTATTAAAGATTTGGCGACCATAAGAGACTTCTTTTAAAAATGTTTTGAACGGTAGTCTATATATAAGATTTGGTACGATTCCGTTCACATCAGCAGCGAACCGTACCGGAGTTCACATGAACCGTACCCCAGACCACCACTTTTAAGCGGACTCGGGTACGGTTCGTGGGTGCGCACCAAAAGTGCTAGTGTGAAAGCACCCTTAGAATATTAGAAAAGATTTCTATGTCAGATAAATGCTGTTCTTTTGAATTTTCTGTTTATCAAATAATAAAGAAAAATGATCATGATTTCCACAAAAATATTAAGGCACAGCTTTAAGTATTGATCAAATGTTTCTTGAGCTCCAAATCAGCTTATGTTTTCAGAAGGATCATGTGACGCTTGACATTTTAAAATATATTAAAAAGTTAGTCAAATTGTAAAAATATTTCACAACATTACTGTTTTTTTTATGTATTTTTAATAAAATTATTAAAGATTTGGCGACCATAAGAGACTTCTTTTAAAAATGTTTTGAACGGTAGTCTATATATAATCGTAGATGGACTTGATATCTGATTGCAGGCACCACTATAATATTACATGTTTATTTTATTTCAGCTCAACAAGTTTAGTCCAGCTGGAGATGTGCTGGCTTCTGGAATGGGTAAAATATAATTTACTGTTTATAATCATAGTAGTCATGAGCGATAGTAGGTATAATTACTTTGAAAAGTTGTACACTTTAATTACAGGCTATAACATTTTGATCTGGAACCGAGAGGACACACTGAACAGTGTTAATGGGAAACAAACAATGGAGACAGTGGAGGACAGTGGAGGCAGACCTGGAACCTCCAGATCCCAGCGTAGCACTCAGCAGCGCACAAATAGAGACAGAAGAGCGGCTGCTGATGATGCCAAGCTCAAGAAAAAGCTGGCATCATCAACAGAGACCAAGTCCAAAACCAAGAGCAAGACAGAATGCAAGACATCAAAAGCAAAGAAAAAGTGAGAGAGAATACACTGAACTTTAAAACTAGATACTCAGGTTCAGGCTCATGTCAATATATAAATCCTGGAACAACAAAAATTTAAATACAGACTTGTTTTGTTACCTTTTATAGGGCCTAAAATATGTATATTCTGTTCAAAATAAACTTTTGTACTTTTTTACATTAGAAACTTCATGTCATGTGTCTTTATTAGTGTAATAAGAGGTTCATATTCTTTGAGTCATATAAACCAGGTACAAATAATCAGGATGTTACTTTAAATGATGTTTATTTAACAAAGTTTGGGAGGAACATGTTCAGATAATCTAATCTACCCAATCAGCACGAGAGGAGGCCCCATATATATATATATATATATATATATATATATATATATATAT